TGAGCACTGTGAGAGACAACAGCAAGCCTCGGAGGCGGGAGACTCCTCCAGTAGCTCAGTGCACTGCCCCTTCCACAGCAGCAGTGGGGAGAGGCAGGAGGGGTGGGGAGATCAAGGGGACAATCCTACAGCTCCTATCCCAATCCACTCAAAAGTGATTTAAGAGGAAGGAGTTTCAGGAACTTGGCAGATCACTCTTTGGGAAAGGAGCTGAGAGTAAGCCATTGAGATAATTTGCACCCAGCCTTATAAGTGCCTTTTGGTTCATTTGACAACTATACCTGTGAAGACAGGGAACTGACCCCCCATCTACTTCTGAGCAGCTGAATACGGGTGACTTTGGGGCCTGCCAGGGCTGCCCTTGACAGATGTCCACTATACTCAAGAGAAAAGCACATTGGCCAGTGAAATGGCTCAGGGTGTAAAGGTGCTTGCCACCAAGCCTTGAACAACTCAAGTTCAATCCCTGGGACTCACATAGTAGGAGAGAATCCACTCCTGCAAGTTGTCCTCTGACCTCCAAACATGCATGTAGGCACATGCCCCCCTCCCCATAAATAAATGTAATTGTTTAAAAGAGAAAAACCTTCCCAGGACATATGGGCTTCTGTTGGTCCATTTTAATTACTATAATGAAATATTTGAGGCTTGGCAGCTATAAAGAAAAGAAGCTTATCTTGATTCATGGCACTGGTGGATGGTCAAAGGTCCACATGTGGTGGTGGCCTTCTTACTGGCAGAGTCTAGGGGAAGCACAGAGCTGCACATGCAAGAAGCAGGGAGCATATGTGTGTTTTTTTTGCATGTATGTGTGTGTGTGTGTGTGTGTGTGTGTGTGTGTGTGTGTGTAGTGTGTGTGTGTGTGTGTGTGTGTGTGTGTGTGTGTGTGTGTGTGCTGGCTCTCCCTTTTCTTGTAAAGCCACTGGAATTAAATCACATGATCTGCACTCTGGTAACTGTCTAATCCTGATCACTGCCCAAAGGCCCCACCTCTAAATGCCGCAATGGGATTCAGTCTCCACCTTCATAATACCTTTCAATGGGGACTAAAGCTCAGCATGTGAGCCCTTGGGGGACATACCGAATCATGTGTAAACCATAGCACCCTTCCCTGACCCCTAAGGCTCATATCCTAAGGCAAAATCCTTTCTATCTGCAAGAGACTCATAGGCTCAGCTCAATCCAGCATTCATTTAAAAGTCCAAAGTCTCATTTGAGACTCAGGCTGACTCCTTACAGGTCTGTAAAATCAAAACACGTTTCCCATTTCCAAGATCTAATGGCAGAACAGACACAGGGGAGCATTTCTGTTCCAAAGGGGAAGTAGACAGATGCAAAGAGGCAGTCATCTCAGAGCAAGACAGAAAGCCAGCAGCCCAGGCAAAGTCCGAAAGCTTCATGTCGGGCCTCTTGTGCACTCTGTAGTGAAGGGAGGGTTCCAAGCCTCACGGCGTTCCTGGCCACAGCCTGCTCTATCCTGCAGCTTTCCATAGGGAGAGTTGTGTGGTGCCCACAGCTCTGCTTGTCTTGGGTCCCCCCTGAGCCTCCACACTCATGGCTCTGAGACAGGACAGTAGAGCTGCAAATGAGTTCCAGAGAGCCTTACACAAAGGCAGTAAAATGAGTACGTGAGAAAAACCTGTGGGCAAAGACTGGCCTGATGCCCACTGGGGGACTGTCTAGAGCCACCTGTGCAGATGCAGAGGCATTCCAGGATGTCTGAGGGTAACCTGTGGCTTATATACTACCTTACAACAGAGAGTATGTGAGAAAACTTGCACTATGAAAACAACAAAAACTCCTCAATTGTGGTGTTTAGAAGGCCCCATTGGGGCTGGAGAGATGGCTCAGTGGTTAAGAGCACTGGCTGTTCTTGCAGAAGACCCGGCCTCAAATCCCAGCACCCACATGGCAGCTAACAACCATCCATAACTCTAGTTCCAGGGGATCAGACGCCCTCTTCTGACCTCTTGGGCATTGCATGACATGGGTGCACTTACATACATGCAGGCATAACTCATACAAATAAAAAGTAAAAATAAATAAATAAAAATTTGTTTTAAAAAAAGCCCCCCCCCATTACAATGCAGTTCTTGAGTTTCTAGATTTTTCTTCCTGCTCTGACCCACTTCCTGTCTTGGAAGTATATTTTTTTAATAAATTATCACAATTCGCTTGCTACCATTCATGTTCATTCAACTCCTTGTTTCAGACACAAGAACCTGGGAATCCTGGCAGGTGCCCTCTGAACCCCCGGACCCACCAATATCAGCTCCACTATACATCAGCTCATTTAGGGGCTCTCACTATACATCAGCTCATTTAGGGGCTCTCTGTGGGGGCTCTAACCATTAGTTAAGTTCCTCCAGGTCTCCCAGGTTTTCCTTTGAGATCTCAATGGAAGCTGCCACACCACCACACCACCTGCATTCTGCACACCTGCAAACTCAGCACAGCCGGAGTGCCAAGGTCTAGTGACAGCCTGAGCTGTATCCAGGCTTGCTTGACTCCAGGCCTTTCCCCAGTCATCTAGAAGCACAGCAACTGACTGGCTTCTAGCCACACTAATCTCCTCAGCAATGGTTTCACTGCCACACCCACACCCTCTTGTTCTTAGCTCCTTCCTTGACCAGACTGAGTTTTGCGAATCTTTCCTTTTTGGTCCTGAGTGTCGCTGTAAATCTGACTCAAAGCAGCCAATAATGCCCATGCTACAGCAAGAATCTTTGTTAATTTGAAATCTCACCCGCCAACTAAACTAGCCCATCATATTAGTATTTTATATTTTTATTTGTTATGTGTATGATTGTATTGCCGGCATGTTGTGCAATGCCTGTGGAAGGTTAAAAGAGGGTGTTGGACCCCCTGGAACTGGAGTTACAGAGGGTTTTTAGCTGCCATGTGGGTGCTGTGAATCGAACCTGGGTCCTCTGCAAGAGCAGCCAGTGCTCTTAACTGCTGAGCCATCTCTCCACCCCTAGTCCATCATCTTTAAGTGTGGTCTTCCACAAAGTTTTAGGGCATGGGTATTTTACAGCAGGGATATTCACTACCCTATAACAAGGACGACCTCTCTAGTTTGTAAGAGGATCCTGATTTCCATCTAAGACTAATTTTCTAGTCTCTTTTGAACCCTTGCCAGAATTAACCAATAACATTCAGCTTATAGCAATAGAGACTTTTTCCAGCCTTCCTCCAAACTCCTCTGATCTCTGCTACCACTCAGCTTCAAAGCCACTGCCACATTTTCAGGTACAGTAATGATTATAGTAATGATTCTGTATACTCCCAATGCAAACTTTCTGTATTTGTTTCTTGGGTTTTGTTTTACCGTAATGAAATACTTGAGCTGAGTAACATTATAAAGAAAAGGGGTTTATTTTGGCTCATAGTTCTGTTCCAAGGTCAAGAGCCTGTATCTGATGATGACCTTCTTGTTGGCAAACTCCCCAGGCAGCACGGGACAGCACATGGCAGGGTCAGGAATGTCTGTACGAGTCTCCTCTGATCTCACTCTCTTCTTTTAACGGCATGAGAATTCAGTCATGGGGGCTCCACCCTGATGACTTTACCTGTCTTAATCACCTCCAAGGCTAAACCTCTAAATTCTTCAGCAACACTAAAGTTGCTGTCATCTTCAGACCTCCTAGCAGGGATTAAATTTAGGCACATGGACCATGGAAGACACTCAGACTATATCCAAACACCAAAAGGCCTTCAGGGGCATGTGCTCCCATGTCCTGGTTCTTTGCTGTCTCACCCAAGAGCTTACTAGGTAATGAGGTCACCTATGGATTGTTTTTCAGGGTCGAACATATTGCTTTGGCAAGAATTTCTTTTTAGCTGAGTGTGGTGGTATACGCCTTTAATCCCAGGATTCAGGAGGCAGAGGCAGGTGGATTTCTGTGAGATGGAGGCCAGCCTGGTCTACATAGCAAGTCCCAGGCCAGCTTAGACTGCAGAGAGACCCTGTCTCAAAAAGACAAAAAAAAAATTTTTCAAAAAGTATTTTATTATTTTTTATTTTATGTATATGAGTGTATTGCCTGCATGTATACAAGTGTGCCTGTGCTATGCAAAGCACTCGGAGGTCAGAAGAGGGCATTGGATCCCCTGAAACTGGAGTTATGGACAGTTGTTAGCCACCATGTGGGTGCTGGGAACCGAACTTGGGTCCTTTTCAAGAGCAGTCAATGCTCTTATTCACTGAGCCATCTCTCCAACTCCAGAATATCTCTTTTTTAATTTTAAAATCAAATGTATTCATTTGTGTGTGTGTGTGTGTGTGTGTGTGTGTGTGTGTGTGTGGGAAAAGAGAGAGAACATGCCACAGCATTCACATGGAGGTCGGAGGACAACTTGTGGGAATCGGTTTTCTCCTTCCACCATGTACGTCTCCAGGACTGAAAACAGGTTGTCAGGCTTGGTGGTAAGGGCCTTTACCCACTGAGTCATCTCTTTGATCCTCTTTATAAAATTAATCTTTCATTTCTTGTGCCATACATGAATAAATTCTAACTCATTATTGTATTGAAGTGCTCATGCTAGATGTCAATCAATCAATAAACACACCCCTTTGACTGCTTCAAAGCTGAGGCTGCTCTCTCAGGTAGCACAGCAGAGAGAGGTCCAACTTTTTCACTGCCACAGATTAGAGTGAGATGGTTAATTTTTTACATCAGTCTGACTAGGTACTTCACCCAGTTTGGATCAAACATGCTGGAACGTCAGCTGTATGACTGTTGGGTAGACTGTTGGTCACTGATAACTTCCCAATACCTAGAACAAGGCCCTGCATACAGCAAGCGCTCACTATCTACTCCATGTGGAAACACCAAACTACTGACAGATTTGGGAATGTAGGGCAGAGAGGCCTGCTGAGATGGCTCCTCCCTGCCCTTCATTTGCCCATCAATCCAGGTACTAGCCACACTTCCTTGGGGAAGTGCCCACGATCCACTCAGAGAGCACCCGGATTATAGCCAAATAGCGTCACCTACCAAAGCGAGGTTGCCGCTCTGCATCTGAGGAGCAGACATCCCTTTCCTGGGTCCTCCTGCCATAGGTGGCAGAGTAGATGTTGAGGAACTTGGTCTCGTGGCAGTGTAACTTCAGCTCCTGGTCCTCACATACAGTTTTGTTTTTTAATTCATCTGGAGAAGAAGCAGAAACCTGTGGCATCATCAGCCTTGAAATGAATGGGGACCGTCTACAGCCTGGCCACCCGCCCCTGTGAAGCTGTGCTCTGAGAAGGGGACGTCAAGATGGCCCTGGCTGCCTGGATGTTTCAGGCCCTGGGAAATAAGTCTCCTTGCAGGAAGGAGGTGGGGAGCAACCTGAGTACAGGGCGAAAGCCCCAGGAGTCACACTAAACTTCAAACACAAGAGAAAGGCTGGGAGGGTGACAGCCTGCTCAAGTCTTGGGAAGGGCCAGGTGAGTGGGAAGTTTCTCTCTCTCCATCCACTTCAGATCAAAGATTCCTTAACTGGAGGGAGCCCTTCAGCAAATTCTGGCTTGAGACTCACACAGCTAAAGCTCAGAGAAAAGCACCCCTGAAACCTTGCCACCAACTCCATGACACTGTCTGTATGAACCTGGTGTACTTTGTTCAAAAGAACGCAGAGTGGGGCCTGGGGTACATGCAGCTTGGTCGACAGAGTGCGTGCCTAGCATGCATGAGGCCTGGAGTTTAATCCCCAGCACCATATAAACCAGATGTGGTGGCTCAAATCTGTAATCCCAGCACTTGGGAAGTAAATCTGAAGTTCAAGGTCAACCTTAGCAACATAGCAAGTTCAAGACCAGTTTGGTATATAGGAGACTCCATCATACACAAAGGACTGGGCATGATGGTTCATTCCTATAAGGAAGCTGAGGTAGGAGGATTACTGTGTTATGATAAAAAAATCTTTCTTTGCAATGTCACGCAGAGTTGACGTTATAATAAACTGCTGAAGAAAGCATTCTACTATTTTTTTAGATAGAATATTTGCTAAAACAATTCAATTAGTAAAATATTTTTTTACATTTATTCACTTATTTATTTATTTATTGTGTATGTGGGGGGGCATGCGTGCCACAACACGTGTGTGAAAGGTAAGAAGACAACTTGTGGGAATTTATTCTTTCCTTCTACCATGTGAGCCCCAAGGACTGAACCCAGGTCGTCAGGCTTGGCAGCAAGCGCCTTCATCTGCTGGGCCCAAACAAAAGTTTCCGATAATGACTTAGAATGATTTTAATTTTTAATTTCAATTTCTAACACCCTAAACACAAAAGACTATGTAGCATATGGTTTCATTTATACCAGTTTACTCTTTATCCAAGTTTTCTCCTTCCAAGGATTTAGTTAAGGACAGCCAACCACAGTTTAAAAATATTAAATAGAAAATTCCAAAAGACTACATTCACATATCTTTCCTTAGAGTAATTGATATAGCTAATCTTTTACTATTATCTAATTTTAAAAATAAATTCTACCATAAGTATGCATGTGTAGAAAAAGACCTAGTGTCTATTTCAAACATCCATTGGGCATCTTGGGATGCATCCCACACACAAAAAGGGGAACCATTGTACAATCACCGGTCCTTAATAACAGGGATATGATCTGGAAGGCGTGTAGTCAGGGAATTTTGCCATTGTGTGAACATCATGGAGAACACTTATGTAAATCTAGATTGTTACACACCTACACTATTTGGTTGTTGAGTTTCCTTCTTTTCTTTTTGGTACTAGGGATTGAACTCACAGCCTCCTGGATGCTAGGTATATGCCCCACCACTGAGCCACATCCCCGGCTCCTATATACCTACGCCATGTGGTATATAGCTTTTGCTCTTGGGCTACCAACCTGCACAGTGTGCTGCTGTCCTAAAGATCACAGGTGACTAACACAGTGCTAAGTATTTCTGTTTCTAAACATAGCTCAACACAGGGTATGTGCAGTAGAAATACTAGGTAAGAGGTATTTTTCAGCTGTTATAATCTTATAAGGCACACAATCAAATATGTGGCCTGTCACTGAACAAAATGTCATTACGTCATTTGACCATATGTGAAGTATCCAGAAAAGGCAAATATTTCAGGGAAGAATGCAGAGATACGGTTTGATGAGACTAGGGGTATGATCAAAGAGGGTCAACAAATGGACAGAGGAAACTTCGTGAGAAGACAGGAATGTTCTATGGCCTGACTATGGTCAAGAGGAAGAGCTCAATAAATTTGCCAAAGGTTGACTTGTACACTTAAAATGGGTGAATTCAATGTTATATAAATAATACCTCACAATACTTTAGAAACAATGATAATTGATACTGAATCCAACCCCTCCACTAACTCCTGCTCTAAAAGCAGTAATGAACTCCACACAAAACAGCCCTTTAGAATTGTCCCCCACCCCCACAGCCCTTTAAAGCACAGGCAGGAAGCACTAAAGTTGAGCTGTTTTAGTTGGCCGGGGCTGGCCTGGGATGGTGGCAATGATCGAGGAGACTATGTCTAAAGGGAAGGAAAACCAGCTCCCAATAATACCATCATTTCTCACATACCCTTCCTTAGCTCGGATTTACCTTGCACTGTGCCTTCCTGGACTGAAGTGGGGGCTGACTCCAGATCCTGATACACTTCAATCTAAAAAATTTCCACATTGTGATCTGAGACCCATTGATAAGTCTTGAAATTAAGTTAGTGAGTTGTGACCAGCAATTTTTCAAAATTTTATTATTTTTATTTTATGTGTATGCGTGTATTGCCTGCATGTAGGTGAGTGCACCTGTGTCGTGCAATGCCCACAGAGGTCAGAAGAGGCTGTTGGATCCCCTAGGACTGGATTTACAGACAGTTGTTAGCTGCCATGTGTGTTCTGGGATTCGAACCCAGGTTAAGCACAACCATTGTTATTAACCGTTGAGCCATCTCTCCAGCCCATGACCAGCAATTTTAGAAAGTGAAGAGGAGTTGAGCAGTGGCATATATCTATGATCCCACCACTCATCCAGTTCAGGCAGGAAGACTAGGAGTTTGAGGCCAGTGTGAGCTACATGGTGAGACTGTCTTTTCCCTCTCTCCATGAAAAAAAGATAAAAAGATAAAAGAGAATAATTACAAGTCATCAAAACATCAAAGGGCATCCCATCATTCAGAAAGGATAAACGCTGCTGTAATTTTAAATCATTCTTCAGTTATATTAATGTGAGTAAATATTATGTTGGCCCAATATGTAAAATGTTTTTCTTATTATGGGTTGCAATCAAAACATTTTTACAGCTCCCACCATAAGTCTTCTAGAAAATCTAAGCAATACAAACCAGGGCTATGGCAATGGCTAACTTCTGACAGAATCAACAATGAATCTCAAGATGCCCAACAGCTTTAGTGATTATAGACCCTACGGTATTCTTTAAGGCAGGCACACACACACACACACACACACACACACACACACACACACACTACCTTAAAATAAATAGTACATGGAAAATTCTAGAAGTAAACAATTCCTAAGCTTGAAATTGTACTCTGTTCTGAGTAGTGTGGTGAAATCTTTTGCCACTGGGCTCTGTCTACACAAGATGTGAATCATCCTTTGCTCAGCATGTCCACACTGTATATGCTGCCTGCCCAGTCACTAGGTGACTGTCTCCATTATCAGATCTATTGTCTTAGTATAGCAGTATTTATATTAAAATAAACTTGATTTTACTTCATAACAGCCCCAAGGCATAAGAGTATTAATGCTGGCAATTTTGCTATAATCACGGTTTAACTGTTCCATTTTATTATCAGTTGTGAATCTCTCACTTTGCCTCATTTATAAATTAAATGTTATGGTAGGTGTGGATGTATAGGAAAAGCATACTAGCTATAGGGCTTGGTAATGTCTGTGGATTCAGGCATTCACAGGGGTTTTGGACAGTATCCCCCAGATAAGGGGAGATGATTGCATCAAAAACAGGGGCATTCCAGGCAGGTGAACCCAGTGTCTGCAAACCACTTATACAAGAGAATGAATGTGGTCAACACAAAACTGTAAACATACGTAAAACATTGTAAGATGGGTTTTTTGTTTTGCTTTGTTTTGTAACTCACTTGTTCAGTTCTCAAGCTTAAACTCTTTAGATGAAAATGTCATGCTGCAACTTTTAAGAGTTGGGCACACCGGTCAGAGTGAGCCAAGTGTAATCTGAGCAGAAGCCAGGAGCCCGATGGTCACACAATTCTTACCCTCTCTAGGCATCTGTCTGTCATACAAGAAGAGTCACCAAGAGCAGGGCAAAGGAAGCTGGTGCCATAGTCAATGTTTAAAAGGCCTTCAATCTGTTCACTGGAATCTTAGCATAACATCTTAAGCTTAGAGCCAAGGGAAAGTGTGCTTTCTTTTTCTAAATTAAAACAAAACAAAACACTGACTCTGACCATGACTTTGGGGCACATGTGTCTTTTTGGTGAGCTGTGTCTGCAGTGTCAAGAGTTTTTCTGTGCTGTGTCTGAGTAGAAGCTCAATCCCACCAACATTGACATTTTGCCTGCCACCAAAGACCCAGGGAGGACATGAGAGATGTGTTAGAGAGAGACAGCAACTTTCCAGGTGGGAGAATTGGATACATGCTAAGAAGGCCCACCAGGGGCTTCAAAAAAGAAGTGGGAGGGGCCTGGAGAGATGGCTCAGAGGCTAAGAGCACTGGCTGCTCTTGCAGAGAACTTGGGTTCAGTTCCCAGAACCTACATGGTGGCTAACAACTGTCTGTAACTCCAGTTCCAGGGAATCTGTTGTCCTCTTCTGAGCTCCATGGACATTGCATGACACAGGTGCACTTTCTATATGCAGGCATAATGCTCATACATATAAAATAAATATTCGTAAAAATTTTTAAAAAGAAGCAAGAGAAGACAGGACTAAACCCAACTTTATCTCAACAAACTTGAACCTTTTTTGTTAATTCAGTTTTTATATTTTGAGATAGAGTCACTACATAGCCCAGGCTAGCCTTGAACTCACTGTGTAGCTCAGGCTGGTCTCCAAATCTAGATCTCTGTGCCTCAGCCTCCCAAATTCTGAGATTACAGGCCTGTGTCTCCACACTCTGCTATGTGCTAATCCACTGTCACCTAAGAGCTAAATTTCTGGGCTATAAGAGACAATGGGACTTCTGACATCACTGCTACTTTCAAAGAGGAATGGAGTTTGGTTTGGAGCTGGGATAGCACTCTTACTCCTTCTCAGCTCAGAGGTCTAGGCAACCTTCTAGGGATGAGTCGCCAGTACATCTGTACCTTTAGGTAAGGAGGGCCACAGGAGCCTAGGAAGGTAGAGCCTTGACTCTCCTCAGACCGCAGCAGTGACTTGCTCCTGAATCTACCAAGTTAGGAGGTGTTCAGGGCATTCCCCTTTTTCCAAAGTACTATACATCTAGAAAGTCCCCTGTCCTGCAAAGGGTTCAAGTTCATATAAACCCACTGAGAGCCAAAAACCTCAAACTGAAAATATGGATGTCAAGTTGGGCCTAAATTCCTTCAACCAAAATTTGTAAATGAGGAAAATTTGCATTTAAATATTGCATATTCACTTCCACTGAAATATGTGAATGTCACCATTTCATACTTCATGAGTACTTTTTCATTAAAAATACGTATTATACGTAAAATACGTTTTAAAGTTGTTTTTCCTTCACTACTTAGCAACTTCCTAGTGTTCTGCCTCGTTCTGGCCATGATCCTTAGTTCTTTGTAGCAGCTGAACTGAAGAGTTGTGTAGTTCACGAGGAGTGAAGTTCACTGTCCTCTGAAGGTTTTATATGATAGACAGATTTTCTGCCCAGTGGGATGATGTTATTTCTGAACATAAAGTCACAGAACTGATTTTAATGTTTATGCACTGTAAAGCCTCAAGCAAATCTTAAAAGAAAAAAAGATTCTGTCTTAATTCAGTAAACTGCTTTTCAAGTAAAAAAATATATGTGTGTGTGTGTGTGTGTGTGTGTGTGTGTGTGAATGAACATCTTTTTTTTAAAGCAAAAATGCATTTTCCTTTAAAAAATATTACAATTTAGGGGCTGGAGAGATGGCTCAGCGGTTAAAAACACTGGTTGTTCTTGCAGAAGACCTGGGTTCGAATCCCAGCACCCACATGGCAGCTAGCAACTGTCTGTAACTCCAGTCCCAGGGGATCTGACAGCCTCTTCTGACCTCCATAGGCATTGCACAACACGGGTGCACTTACCTACATGCAGGCAATACACACATACACATAAAATAAGAAAAAAATAAAATTTAAAAAAGTATTACAATTTAATACATCTACCTCACCTAAACTACCAACACATCATAGCTTCTTCTTGTGATTGACTGACCAACTAGGGGCTGGTGAAATGGATCAGTGGATAAAGGTGCTTGCTGTCAAGCCTCATGACCTGAGTTCAAGCCCTGGGACCTACATAGCGGAAGGAGAGAGTTGATTCCTGCAAATGGTCCTCTGACTCTCACACATGGCATGCCCCCTACAACCTTGCTCCAATAATTAAAAAAGACCAACTGGGACCCGTGGTTGGCTGCCATTGCAAGTATTACAAGGAGGGATAGTGTTGCATGTGGCTAGCTCAGGGAAAGATCAAAATTCAAAATTCATTGGGTTCAATCCCCAGCACCGTATATAAACAAATAAAAATTCAAAATTCTAGTTTTTTACTGAGTGTACACCACTCTGCACCAGGCACTGTTGCACTTTTGCATCTCAGTGGTGGCCTGTCAAGGGTGTGACCTCATGACCAGAGGATTTTATTACTGGCAGTGCTCACAACTGCTAGCACATGAGATAATGAAACACTGATGGAAGTTTGGTCACTTGGATTCTGGCTTCAAACTCTGTGTAGACAATACATCCTGCCACTGCCAGCACCTAAGACCCACCACTAGCACCTGCACCTCTGCCCTGGGTACGTCGCTGCTTGTCCCTCTCACCTCCTTTACTGGAATGCCTTTAATCTATTTATTGGACCAACGGCTACCCATGACTGAGTTCAACTCTACCACAGGCCCTGTGCTAAGCATCTTCCTAACAACAGTACATCTTTACAGCAGCCCTGTGTGGAAGGGATATAATCATCATTCTACAATGACCCACTGGAGGCTCTGAAAGTGCATCTACACTGTCCAAGATCACACAGCAAATAACAGAAGGGATTTGAATCTAGAACTCTTAGACCCAAGGCCTCCCTGAAACCAAAATTCCCTGGTGGGGGGAGGGAGATGTGGGAGAGGGGGAATGTGAGGCACATTAGGGAAAAGAAGGTTCCGGTAAAGTTTATTAGAGTAAATTAACAACAACAACAACAAAAACCCAACCAATCCTGTTTTGTAGCACTTGGTATCAACACTCCCATCACGTGGATTTCACAGAACACAAAAGTGGGAAGAGATGCACAGGATCGCTCTGTACACCAGTGGGTACAGCAATAGGCAATGCCCATGTCATACAGGGGCAGGAGCTGGGCAAAGAGAAGAGACTCAGCAGGTGGGAGGGCTACAGAAAAGGAGGCAGAAGGATGTAGAGAAAAATCTCCCTTCCACCTCCCAAAATGCTGAGACTCTGACTGCTGAGGACGGGGTTACATGAAAGGTCTGCACCTGACCCATTCTCTAGCAGACGAGGGCCTGTACCTCTCATCCCATACCTCCCTGTGTAAACACTGCCCTAGACTGTCCCCTCAGAACTCACGTAGGAATAGAATCCCCACTGGGAAGTATTAAGAGGGAGGACACTTAATGGGTAAACAATCACGTTCTCACTACCCAGGTGCTCTAGTTGTTGACATTTTGAACAAGGCCCAGTTTTTTGTTGTTTGTATTTTTAGAGACAGGGTTTCCTTGTAGCCCCATCTGGCCTAGAATGCCCTATGTAGACCAGGCTGGCCTTGATTCCACAGAAATTCACCTGCCTCTGCCTCCTGAGTGCTGGTAAAGGTGCACGCCACCATGCCTAGCCAAAGGTTGGTTTTGAAAGGAATATTTGCTTCCACCATGAAAGGTAGGAACTGGGTACAGAAGAGAAAAAGGCAAATCTCATGGCAGTCAAGGGCATCACTGAGGGCATCTCGTTTTTATGATCAGCTACAGAAGGGCCATGAAGAATACAGAGGACTTGACATGATGTTCCTGGGTCTGTTGACTGAAACAGGAGTGGTTGAGATTCAGTGAGGATGGGGAGGGGCTCACAGGGGGACGTTTAGCTGTTTTGCAATGCTCAGGCCTGTTCATAGCTATTTGTGATTGTGTGTATGTGTCAGTATATGTGGATGTATGTGTGTATAAGGGAGTGTGAAATAGCAAGTAAATATGTGATCACGTATGTATGCATACTAGGGTGTAAGGTTACGGCCATGTATATATGATAAAGTGTATTTACTAAGTATGCTACAACTGTGTGAATGTGTGCATGCTCATGGATGCATAAGTGGGTTTGGAGGTGCATGTGTTTGCAGTCACCGTACTGAGGAAGCATAGGGGCAGCTCCAAGGTATTGGGCTCCAGCCAGGAGCATGTTACAGAGAAGCCTGGATATCTTCTGAGAGGACTGGGGACTTCTCCCTGGACATGCAGTGGAGACTAAGGCATACAACGTGGCTCAGGTTCCCCATCTCCATCACTAGGCTACCAGAGTCTTGGAACCAACAGAGAGCAAAATACAAAAATAAAAACAGCTGGGATGGGGTGACGGGGGGAATTGTAAAAGTTATTATTTCTGACATCTCAATGAGTTGATCAAGTACATCTTCTACCAGGACAAATGCCGTGTGCTCTCTCTCATATGAGGATCCTGGTGTTGATTTTTATGTGTATGTGGTTGTGGGTATAGAACTAGAAAGGGGACTATGAGAGAGGAAGCAGGAGAGGCTTTAAGGAAGTGGGGGTACGGTAAGAGAGTACATGTGACATCAAAGTGGGAAGAGACTTCTGGAAGTGAGGGCACAAGGAGATGAGGGGGGAAGGAAGGAAGGTGGATCAACAAAGCAAAGTATGCGGGAAAATGTCAGTGCTTTGTTTGCTAATCAAAAAAACAAACAAAAGAACATCCTATAGCCATTCCCCTGAGTTTGTCTTGGGCAGACCTCTGTACCTAGAAGTGAGATCCACTCATTGAAGAGGGACTACTATGGCTAGAAATGGGTTCATCACTAAACCTGTCTGTGTGCATCAGAAATGGCAAAAGCCAATGGAGAAAGCCCAAGAACCAGAATAAAGGAGACTGCTCCAGCAGCTTCCCTCCTCTCTTTCCTCCAGAGCACACAGGGCTATGGGAGCTCCTGCATCCCCCATAATGGGAGAAGCCAGTGCACAGACATCTGAAGTGGTGGCTTTGGTAGAAACCATGCCACTGATGCCCAAGGAAAATCCAGCCTCAGAACACAACACCTTTCAAAAGCAGAAGTAGTTCCTCACTTTCAGGAAAACAAATTGCAGTTCCTTCCCCATCATAGCTATTTTCAGCATTGATATAATTGAGTTTTTACATGTTGAGAAAGATTTTTAAGTCCATAGGTTTTGAAGAACACGCATGAACACACACACACACACACACACACACACACACACAAAAAACTCAAGTTGTTTAATTTCCATATATTTATTGAGAATTTAAACACTAATACAATGAATGGACACACACACACACACACACACACACACACACACACATACACACACACACTGCATGCATGAAATCTCTGCTGCTTTTTGCTCTCTCCCCATCCCTCTCAGATGTTCCTACTAAAGGGTTCAAAGTTGGATGAACACCCGGGGCAGATAACTTTGATCAGAAAAGTCAATGAAACTGGGGACCAATCCCAAACACACTGTCCCCCCCTCAGATGTTACTTACTAGGCTGGCATTTAAAGGAGACCAGGAGGTATTTACTGCTTCCTGGACAAAGGTCAGGTCCAAAGACACGGCTATTAACCAGGAGGTGGCAGGCCCGCTGGTTCTGGCACTCATCCAGCACCTTCTAGAAGAAGGGGTAGAAAAGGGACAGGCTTGTAAACTGCACACAGTGTCTACTGGACCCCCAAACCTGGGCTGCTCTGGGCTCTGAGGAAGGAGAGAGGCCACCCTGCCTGGTCCAAGCTGTGTCTGGGATGGAAGTACATGTGTATGGTGGACATCTCCCTACAACTTCCAGGAGGAAAAACTTGATCCATAGTGCAAGGACCCATGGGAGAGCCAGCCCCAACCAGTCACGATAGACACTATGACTGATTCTTTAGCAGAAGTCCCACACCTCTGGGGAGAGAGCAATATTGTCTTTCAGTGTCTGGCTAGAGGGCACTTTAAGCAGAGGCCCTTAGCTTTAAAGCTGAGAGAGCCACAGTGGCCAGGAATCTACACAGGCCCCAGGGACTAGAGGAAGGTCTCAGACACCCAAACTCTTTCTAGCTCATGACCTAGTACACAGGCCAGTAAATAAAAACATAAAAGCTGATTCCCATCCTTAACAAACTTAAGTCCCTTTGCTGTTGAGCAATTTCTTTAGCAGAATGCTCATTTTGCTGGGCACTTAGTATTAAAAAAAAAAACAAAAACTTTCCTTCAACTAACTCTTTCTCTCTTTCTCCCCTTCCCCCAGAAACTCCCTCATTAGTTAAAGAATCTGTTCTGTGGAAGCTTGTGGAATTCCCTATGCCACATCATAGAAAAACCCATGTCTTCTCACTGATTGTGCGAGTCATGGTTTCCAGAGAAAGCCTTGTCTAGGATAAACTCAGAGACCCTGGGCTTGGCTCTGGTAAAAAGGTCACCAAGGACAGTGGAGTAAAAGTTCTGAAGAATCTACATAATATTTAAGGACTAAATTATATGCAGATTTTTGAGCTTTGCTGAGTCACCATGTTCTTGCAGCAACTCGTGGAGAATTTCCATGAAGGATATTGACCATACCATGTCACCTACTCTGTCACCTCAAAGGCCTAGAAGATGTGGATCTATCAATCAGAAAGAATGCCCAAGGGAACCTCATAAGCCCCTAGGAGACACAGGTCTTAGATGGTGGCACAACATTGGCATGGCTGATGGTTTTGGTAAATTACAGTCCTCAGATATCCCAGCAAGGCTCCTGCATTATCATCTCAGAACAGGCTATGTCTAAAATGTGCAGCTAACCGCAAAACGCAGAGAGGGGTCAGTGATTGTTACCTCTGTGTATGTCAACTTTCCCCTACCTTAAGCATCTCTCTAGTTCAGGACATAGTTTGCAACAGCACCCAGTGTAGTTTGAAAGTCACAAAGGAAAGGATCTCCTGATCTTTGAATGAAAGAGCATGGACAGCGATGTTTCTGGCAAACAAACCCTCTGAGCAGCATCAGAATTGTGTTCACAGATGCTAACTTGTTGGCCTAATGGAACACCCTCTTCCCTCAGGGGCACCTGGCTGAAACAAGGATGCCTGAGTGCCAGGAGTTCATATTTTCATAAAGTAGGCACTTCCATCCTTTGGTCACCAGCCAGGACTCTCTTTGTGCACCCAGGAAGGCAGCAGAAAGTCTGGGCAGCTTGATTGGGTGAGGAGGATTGGGGGTGACGAGCGGGGCTATAGCTTGGGGCCTCTTGGGAGTCGGGTGGGGCACTCAAAGAAACTAACCACTTGCCTTGTGAAGAAACGTGTTGTCGTTCATCATGGTGTAGAAACCATGTCAAGGGAATTCAGACAGACACATTCTTTTGTATTGCTCTCAGTGTTTTCACCAATTACATGACTACCCAGATGCTATGGTTCTTGAATGAGAGCAATTTAAGTGGTGAGGGAAATAAAAAATCTTTGTATCATCTGTTATTTTTGCTTCTTTTTGGACATTAGAAAGAGAATTTAAAGTATTCCATTTAAAGAATTTACCTTCATCCGCATAGCCTATGACTGACAAAAATCAAGTTGACTTTTAACTTGTCATGTGCTGTAAACACCCTGCCTTCAACATCTTCACATGAAACTTAGGGGCCGTTAAAAAATAAAAAGTCCAAGGCCAGTGACTTACTAATCTTGGCCAGCTAGTTGAGATGAGAGATTATAAATTACTTGAATAAAGTTGGGCTTGGTGGCACATGTCTAATCCCAGCTACTGTACACAGGCTGAGGAATCAGACTCTCAAGTTCAAGGCCTACCTAGACTACAAAGCAAGTCCAAGGCCAGACTGGGCAACTTAGCAAGACCTTGTCTCACAAATGAAAAGCAGAACAGGATGGGGATATAGCTTGCCTAGCATTCAGGAGATCTTAGTTCAGTCAGTTTTCAGAACTGGAAAAAGGACAATAAGAAGAAAGAAGTTGATTATATATCTGAGAGTCTAAAATGATCAGTGAAATGATTTAACCTTCATCTGTACTAAATCTTTCCCCAAATATACCCAAGGAGTAGGAAGAGCACCTCTGTCCCCCAGACAGAGAGAGAGAGAGATGGAGAGAGACAGAGAGAGAGAGCTCATGACTGAAAAAGGCAGGAGGAGAAGGATGTAGAGGAAAAGGAGGGAGAGGGAGAGAAGGAGGAGGAGGAGGAAGAGGAGAAGGAGGAGGAGAGGGAGAGAGGAAGAAGGAGGAGGAGGAGGAGGAGAAGAAGAAGAAAAGGAGAAAGAGGAGCATGTTGTTGAAGCTTTGAAGGTTCCTTTCCCCAGTTATCTTTAGCACTATTCCAAAGACAAATTCAACAAACACTGCTCAGAGTAGCTCCAAATGAGGATAACATGGTTGTCTACAAATGAAGAAGCAGACCATGAATAAACAACAAAAGACAGCTATTGATATGTCTCTTCCTGGAGTCCACTCTCTAAACTGTCCATCGTGACCCCACATGTTGGCATCACACAGATACTTGTGGTTTCTACCAAAGAATCCCTTTCCCACTGGGGCATTTATGAGAGATGTGGGCATGGAGGTTGAAGCTCAATATGGCCATATTTTGCTTCACTACACTAAGGAGTGCACCTATGAATAAATTCATGTTGAAAATGTACTATGGGAGCTTTTCATCAAGTAGGGATTCTATCTATATGGCAAAGACTCCTTTCGAGAAGCAAACACTAATAACTTAGCTGCAAAAATTACTGATGTGTATGAATTGGGGTTTTCATGGACCAGGTTATCTTTGAGTGAACTGCATAATCATATATATATATATATACACATATATACACATATATGTAAATATATATATACATATATAAGAAACGCAGGGTAAGGAAGAAAGAGAAAGCAGGAGAGATTCATTTCATTATACCACATCTATGAACAGCAGTACCTGCAAGGTAGTGGGTGCCACACAGGTTAAGTTGTCTTCCCTCTGGGAGGCAGGCTTCTGGGAGCTACACATTTGGTAATCTTGCCCATAAAATGCCGATTGGACACTTATTGTAGAATGCCGAGGGCACTGTAGATTCAAATGGTCCCCGTCACAGGCATAGGCGGTGTGGTTTTGCAGGAGTTTGGTTAAGTAACCTGGAAAATATTCAGCCAGGTTACAGGAGGCCCAGGACACCCCCCCACCAAATCTTTTATAGGTTTTGGAGCAGAAGGGCATTGGTTCCCCTGAAGCAGAGTTTTCAGGCAAGGAACGGGTGAGATGCGGCTTCTGCAGCAGGTGTGAGGCAGGAGTGACCCAAGGAGGCCTCACTGGAGTTGCAGGATCAAATCTTGACTTTCATGCTTGGGCTAGACACCTTGGTCTGGAGAGGCCGGGTGTGCGAGGCTCGGAGGGCTCCTTCCCCTTCAGGCAGTGCACTAAGGGACTGGCCATGAGCCAAAGAATCTGCAAGCACCTCTTTAAAGCAGGGAACTATGCTGAGTGGGTGTCCCCAGGCATGTGGATGCCTGTCCCAAGGAAAGACTTGAATTTTCTGATCTTCAGGCCTTCCCGGAGTGAGAGGATGTGGTTGGACTTCAGGAAACCACTCCTGTGCCTGCCTCGCCCCAGTGAGGAAAGCCAGGCCTTGCTTGCACCGTGTAAGGCCTTCCAGGAAGAAGTTCAGGAGGGGGCTATGGGAAATACAGTAGAGCTTTATCATGGATTGACTATTATAACCCCAGATTCATATTGAATCTCAGAATGTGATCTCATTTGAAAATAGGATCATCATAGGCATAATTAGTTTTTTAAAAGGACATTCTGAACTTGGGAGGATTCTTAATATCACATGACTAGTGTTCCTGTCAGAAGAGAGAGAAAGACAGCCATGTGAAGACTGGACTGATGGGTCTACAAGCCAAGGGAACCCAAGGATGGCCAGCTACCACCAGAAGCTGAGGGAGGCAGGAGGCGCCCTTGAGGGAGGTTGGCACTGCCATCTCCTTGCTCTCAGACTTCTGGTCTCCAGAACTACAGAAGAGATCTCTAATGTGTGCAGCCACGCATTTTGAAATCTGTTCCACCAGCCATAGACCTAAAATAGGCTCTGCACCTTGGTCTCCTCAGTGATGAGTTCTCAAGCAATTGGAGGAGCCACGCTGGGCCTGGACTCTGAGAAGCTCTGAGGACCTGCAGTCTGGCAGGCCTGGGTTCCCTTCCCAACTGGGCCTCAGAAAGGAGGAAGTAGATTCCCTTCCCCCTTCTCACACCTCAGGAGGTCAACAGCAAGGCTGCCGGGAGCAAAGCCAGGGACTTTCTCCTGAGGTGTGTGTGGGATGCGCTTGGCAGCCCCTGTCCTCTGAGAGGGAGGTGTTGGGAGGAGAAGGGCAGTTTCAGAAGTCTCTGATTCCCACACAGATGACCCGTGCTTATATGACTCCGATTCAGGTTTCAAAATCCTCTCAGAAATACAATTCCTGGAAGGTTACAGTCAAAGGGACTGAGACAGTCTGGCCTGGGGTCACCCCATTCATGCTGTGAATGCCCAATGGCATGCTAACTCCAGGGGTGTGTACCTTCTCTCTGTGTCTCCCTCTCTCTCGCTCCCTCTCTCTGAACTCCTTTGCGATGCTACCTTGTTCAGAGAAGCAAAGTCTTACAGAAGTGTGGATCTGATTCTTGCTCACACACCTCCAGTCCTTTGGGAGTCCAGCCTGACCTAGGCTGTGGATTGGTGCCTCCTTACAAAGTGACAAGTGACAGGATTCCTTTATGGGGTCCCAACACCCCGTGAGGCACACTCTGCCTGAGGAAATCAGGGTGGCGCTGACGTTACTTTGGTAGGGCCAGTATCTATCCTGAAGGGCCCTAGGCTGATCCCCCAACACCTACTTAGAAACCTTCGGACAGCTCACTAAAATTTTCCTTTCTACCACCCCAAAATTCTCAGAACCCTGCTAAGTGACAAGCCCATTACAACCTCAAAGTAATTCTCAGAGGATAACTTCTGCTTAAAGCTCATAGTTTATACAAAAGATGGTGTGCTACTCCAGTAGGTAAAGAAAATGACAGGGTTCTGGGGATGGTGGAGTCATGAGACAGAAGGGGTCCTGGATTTCTGGACATAAAGGCTGTGTGATGGTTAATCTTGACGGGATTCAGGATTACCCAGGAGACACACCTACAGGCATGTTTGTGAGGATTTAACTGAGGAAGGAAGACCCACCCTGAATGCAGGGGGCACCATCCATGGCCTGGAGTTCTAGGCTAAAGAAAAAAGGAAAAAAAAAAAGGAGAAAGCCAGCTGAGCCCCAAGATTCATTTCTTTGCTTCCTAACTGTGGATGACATATGACTAGCTGTCTCATACTGCTGCTGTCAGGCCTTCTCAATGGACTCTACTTTCAAATCTCGAGCCAAAATAAACCCTTCCTTGTTCCACCGTTTTTTGTCAGCCTCTTAGTCACAGCAACAAATAAAGCAGCAAGCAGAGGCTCCACAGTCTGCCACGGGAGCCACAGGAGAATTTTGGCCATGTTGGGTCTTCACTGTTCTTCATTCTACGTATTACACGGTATGTTCCCATGAAAGAGAATTTGATCTCTGTGGAACCATTTCCATTTCCATCAAAACCCACGTGTGCAGTTCCTACCTGAGCCACCACACCCCCATACCGTATTCTTATTCTGAAAGCGGTACTTGGTGGGCAGAAGTTCATGGCTCAATGCTCAGGCCCACTTCAACTCTGAGGGGTGGGAACAGGAACCCCGCCCCCTTCCTGTGCATCAGTCCTAATGGTATACAGGAATATGAAGGACACACTTCAGCAGTAAAGCATGCTTAAATTCAGTCAGTTCCTTGTTTAAAAACCACATTCAGATAATGGGATCCAGCCAGTACTAAAATGAAATGAGCATAACTGGGGATGTAGGACCTCAGGTCCTAGGTTCAAGTCAAGTTTAAAAATGAGCTATCAAAAAGACATGAAGGATGCTGGCAAGGTGGCGCACACCTTTGATCCCAGCACTCGGGAGGCAGAGGCACGTGGATCTCTGGGAGAGTGAGGCCAGCCTGGTCTACATAGTGAGTTCCAGGCCAGCTGGGGTTACAGGGAGACCCTATCTCAAAAAACAGACAGACGGACAGACAGACAGACATGAAGACAACTTACATTCACATTACTAAATGAAAGAAGCTACATATTACATGCCATATGGTTATAACTATGTGACATTCTCGAAGAGACAAATAAATGGAGACAGTAAAAATATCATAGTTAACAAGAGTTGGGAGGGAGGGAGGGAGAGAGGGAGGGAGGGAGCAAAGGAGGGAGGGAGGGATAGGCAGGGCAGAGAGGATGTTGAGGGCACTGAAACTACTCTGTGTTATATAATACTATGATGGTGGATGCACGTTTGCCCAAACCCTTACATACAACAAGAGTGAACATTATGTAGACTGTGGGTGCTAAGGATAGGTCAATGAACTGGGTATGGTGGCTCACTACTGTAGTCTTAGAACCCCAAAGCCTGAGGCAGGAGGATCAAGAGTTCAAGGCCAGCCTAGGCTACATGGTGAGGAGACAGAGAGAGAGAGAGAGAGAGAGAGAGAGAGAGAGAGAGAGAGAAAATGAGTCAAGGTAGTTTTATCAGTTGTAACAAGTGCACCACTTGGGTTTGATACAGATTGTAGAGGAGGCTACACATGTGTGCATGTGGTAGACTAGGTATGTAGAAACTATACTTTCTGTTCACTTTTGCACTGAACTTAATGCTTCTCTAAAAGTATTAATAAGGTCCATTTTAAAGGAGAAACAAAAACAATAACAAAAAACCTACCCTATCCCTTCCCAAGATATTTTGGGAGGAGAGAAGTTATTAGAAGGGAGGGGCTGTGGAGTTACACGAGTAGCTCTGTTTCTTAACCTGAATGGCAAATATGTAAATAAATTAGGTAAATAAAATACTTTAAAGAACTATACTTGTTCACATATGGTAGCAGATGCCTTTAATCACAGCACTTGAGAGGCAGAGGCAGGTTGGATCTCTGAATTCTAGGCCAGCTGGGGCTGCATACTGAGACCCTGTCTCAAACAGACAAAACCAAAACCAAAAACGCAAAAGCAAAAGCAAAAACAAAACAAACCAAAAAAAAAAAAAAGAAAATACATCTGTAGTGATCTGACCAATACTTTTCTAAAAAAGATTCATTTAGCCAGGCATAATGGTGCATGCCTTTAATCCCAGCACTCAGGAGGCAGAGGCAGGTGGATCTCTGTGAGTTCAAGCCAGCCTGGTCTACATAGTGAGTTCCAGGACAACTGGGGCTACAGGGAGACCCTTTCTCAAAAAAACCAAAAAAAAAAAAAAAAAAGATTCATTTATCTTTATGTGTATAAGTGTTTTGCCTGCATGTATGTATGTGTATCACATACATGCCTGGTGCCTGTGGAGGGCAGAAAAGAGCATTGGATCCTCTGGAACTGGAGGTACAGATGATTGTTAGCCTCCATGTGGTGCTGGGAACTGAACTCAAGTCCCCTGTAAGACTAGCCAGTGTTCTTAACTGCTGAGCCATCTCTCCAGCCTCTGAGCAATACTTTTAAACTAATAAAGCAAGCCTAGATGTTATGGAGTCCTGGATGATTTACAGAGAGAGGAAAGTATTAAACACCTTCTTCTCCAGCCAACACAATCCCACGAGAACACAGGAAGCCAGTGACAGCAGGAAGTACTCTGAAGTCCAGCCAAGGTCCAACATGCTGAGGGGCTGTCTACAGATAACCTTGCTGTACTGTTTCTGCTTGTCTATAAATTTCAGCAGGTCTTTGTTTCTTTTCCAGTTGCTGTGATAAAATACCCTGAGCAAATCATCTCTGGGGAGAAAGGGTTAATTTTAGCTCACAGTTCCTGGTTACAGTCTATCAAAGCAGGGAAGTCAAGGCGGGGGGGGGGGGGGGGGGGCCCTTGAGGGAGTTGGTCGTACCACAGCCACAGTCAGGAACTGAGGTCAAAGAATGCATGTGTTGGGGTGCACACTTTTAATCCCAGCACTCAGGAGGCAGAGGCAGGTGGATCTCTATGAGTTTGAGGTCAGCCTGGTCGACATAATGAGTTCCAGGCCAGCTGGTGCTACAGGGAGACCCTGTCTGAAAA